ATTACCAAGAGGAGAAAATATTAGCAAGAAAATTAGCAAGAAAAAAAAATTAACAAGAAAAAAATTAATAAGTAGCCCGACGAGCTTGAATACGATTGCTACCATTAACACCACCAACCTCGCCAGAACCACCACGACCACCAGAACTAATACCATAATCACCACGACCACCAGAGCTAATACCATAACTACCACCTTGAACACGACCATGATGAACACCACGAACACGATCATCACCAACACGGTAAATACGGCCACGACCACGACCAATACGAACACGAACACGATCAATCCAACCAACACGACGAACACGACCACGATTATCTAGAAAAGTAAATATATGAAATTAAATTCGATAGTAAAATATATAATAGAGCTTACTTCGTTGTTGTAATTGTTGTTCCAATCGTCGTATTCTTCGTTGTAATCGTTGTGTTCTTCGTCGTTGTTGTTGCATCTGGAGTTGGTGTCGTCGTTGTAGTTGTTGCATCTGGAGTTGTTGTTGTTGTATCTGGAGTTGGAGTTGTTGTATTTGTTGTTGTTGTTGCAAAAAAATAAGAAAAGCTTGAAATGGTGGAGCTGGTGGAATGTTGTTGTTGGTGCTGTTGATTTGTGCAATAATATTCTAGATAAAAATAAAAGATAAAGATAAATTTTAATATAGTAAAAAAAAAGTATGTTACAGACCGTTCAAATATGATACAACTTAACAGAGATGGAACTAATCTGAATTTTTGATGCTCGGTACTGGTCAAATCGAACCAAGTTTATGAAACCTTCTGAATTGGCCAGGAGGCTTCTGATTTTATTACTTTTCTCCTGACAGAAAATCCCCTGATTTTAGGAGCTGATTTTTATGATTTTCTCCTGATCTTTATTTTTTTTTCTTACAAGAGATTCATCGCAGTGTTTAATGGATATAATAGCCAATAAGAAAATACATCAACTTTCGTTCTTCTCGAACTTAAGACCCCCTCAAAAATCAATCTTAGGCCAGAAACGTTCGAATGGCATGAAATTTTCAGAATATGTTGGAGCTGGTGTGGGATTGCTATGGTAAAATTTTCAGCTCTGTACCATGACGTTTGACGAAGATATTGATCAAACAAGGGTCAAAAAATAGGTAATTTCATCTCAAAAAATTCTGTGGTCTTCAGTCTATACATTTAATTTTTTTTGTGTGTAAAAGAGCATGTCAGAATGAAGTGCCTATGAGAGCCTTTTTTTTAAAACTATTACTTTTTAAGGGAAAAATAAATGCGGAAACTTCGGATTTAAATCCGAGAGTTATGTGTACTTCAAAAAGTGAATGAGACAGATGAGTCGTTCCAGAATATGGGGATATAAAAATTATTCTGGCAAACCTTATCTATAAACACTTGATTTCTATTGGCTACTGCTCAACCAATAGGATTTGGGGATGAATACAGCTCAGATTTGAACTCTTCACCTTGATTTATCCTAAGAAAGTCGTTTTTCCTATAACTTGATTTCTATTGGTTACTGTTCAACCAATGGGATTTCGAGGCGAATAGAGCACAGATTCGAGTTCTCCACCCCAGAAAACCTCGAACTATCATCTCTGTGATCGAAAGATAGAGCTCTATTTGTGGATCAATTAGAGCGTGACAAAAACAGAACCGAATTCCAATTAATTATCTTTGCAATAGCTGAGTTGGCTTTCTTGTTTCCTTATGTTTTATATACCATTTTGTAGCTCGTAAAATTCTCTATCGAATGGTATATAATAGTTGGGGTTTTAGTTGACTATGATAGGAAAAGTCTTTTACGAAAGTGGGGATGGGTCGATCTTTCCATAGGGAAGGTGCAGGGAAAAATGAGTCTTTTTGCAATAACTCAGGAAGGGCTCGGCCAATCATTCTCATCTTCGAACTCGACCGAGATATAGTTAAGACTGAACTGTGTAGAAAATTTCATCGCGATCGGACTCTCCTTTCAAAAGTTATCGTGTTAACGGCCGGACGGCCGGACACACTGACCGATTCTAGAGTGTACTCACTTTTTGAGTACACAATAAACTAAAATCAGGAGCAATCAGGAGAAAACCATGAAAATCAGCTCCTGAATTCACAAGAATTTTAATCAGGAGAAGATTCAAAAAGTCAGGAGTCTCCTGGTCAAATCAGGAGATTTGGCAACTCTGATAATGTCATGATCAAATGAACAAGATCAATAATATTGATATTGATAGTTTTCAGCTAATAACAAGAAACTAATCTATATGAATGACAGCTTGATAGTGGAAAGCCAAGATACTGTTTACAACGACGCCATTACACACTTTATTATTATGACACAGCCTCCACTGTATTGATTGATATGAAACTAGTTTTACAGCTGTAGTGTAGGGACATCTTCCGCGTGAAACTCAGTTTGATCGAAAATAAAATATACAAATTAAAAGAGAACTTAATATAAAGTATTTCTATAATAATTTTTTTTTCTGATGTGAATATGTGAACTAGATGTCTCCACTGGTAGTGTATCATGCTGTCAATTGGTGATTCTAGTCACATTGTTTTCGCCAGACAACGTACTAACAAAAAAAAATCATATTTTTGATTTATTCGATTATTTTAATGAAAGAATTTGATGGCAACAGGAACACCAACAACTAATTCTCATAGTGGAAAACATCGATTAGAACCTGAAATAGAAAAATATCGTTTAGAACTTAATTGGACTAAAATTCTTGATAAATTAAAAAGTGCAAAAGTTTCAGGTTTTATTTCTTAGTTTGGTTTTTTTTAAATAAAAATCTAAAATGTAATTTGTTTTTTTTTGTTTTTTGTTTGAAAAGAATATGTTAAATTTTTGGAAGGAGAAGCTCAATTAGAATATTATTTACAACAATATCCATTAACTGATTATCGTCATATAGAACAATCTCAAAATGATTTAATTCGTGTTGAAAATCTTCTTAAATGAGGTGGATCAATTCGTTCATTTGAAAGTCAATGTTTATTAGCTAAATTATATTATGCTCAATCACGTTATGATGAATGTTTAACATATGTTAATTTAGCAATTAATTCAATACCAAATGATATTAATCGACAACCAAATAGATCTTCTTTATTACTTGCAGAAATTTATGCACTTAATGGACTTTTATTAGAAAAAAAAATGAAAATTTATTTGAAATAAATCATTTGATGATTCTTGTAAATTAAGTCAAACATATTATGCTGCTGTTGAAAAATCTAAACATTTAAGTAATGAGAATTTAGATATTGAAAATTCTTTAATTGAATTAGCTTATCAACGTTTACCACTTTTACATGCTTCGAATAAGTTAATTCTTTTTTTATAAAAATTAATGTTTATTTTAAATAAATATATATATTTTTTTTGTTTAGTAATATAAAAACAGCTATTGAAATATTTCGTTCATATATTCAAAATGTTCATATTAGACCATTAGAAACAATGAGACAAGTTTGTTTTAAATAAATTAAATAAAATCTATAAGACTTTTTTTGTTTTTGTTAATATAGACATTAATTAAACAATATGCCGAATTATTATTATAATGTGTTTGTAAAGGAAATTATATTCAAATAATAAGTTCAGATGATAAAACTAATAAAACTAATCGTCGATCATCTCAATAAGAATAAATAAATAAATAAATTATAAAAACTAGATCATTATTTATTCCTCGAGATGTTGATGAAGAAATTTTGTTATTATTATTATTGGGTCAAACATCAACATTAAATGAAGCTGTACTTGATTGGCAACCTGAACATGAAGGTCAAAGAGAACGTAGTCATCAAGCTGCTTATAATATTCTTGCTCTTCTATCTATATTTCTTTCTCGTAAACAAGCATTTCATATTATTGCTGATGTAACATTTTCTTTTTTTATCTTTTATGTTTATAAAAATTGAATATAATATATACATATATATAGTCTTACGAACAAGCACTTCGTTTTTCATTTGAACATTTTCAAACATGGTTTAATTATGGATTATCATTAATATCATCAGGTCAATCATTTCGTGCTTATCTTATATTAAAACAATGTTTAAGAATGCAACCAAAAAATCTTCAAGTTTATTTACAACTTGCTAAAATAATTCTTGAATATATATATGATGTACATTTAATTGAATTGTTTTTTTGTTTTTAATTCTGAAATTGGTATATTATTATTTAAAATAGTTTCCATCATTATTTGAAACATTTCCAACGACTGATGAAGATAAACAAACATTATTCAAACAAACATTATATCAACAACAATATTATTTAAATCAACATGAACAATGACCGAGATTTATTGATCTTGTAATTTTCATTTTTTTAATTTATAAAAAAAAGAAAAAATATTTAATATTAAGATTGATGAAGCAATTAATTATTGTCAACAAGCAAAAGAACTTGAAAATCCTCCATTTGCTCGTTCACTTCTTCTTGCTATTGCCAAATCATTTAAAGCTCGACAAACATCAATTCATCATGATCGTCAAGCACTTTTTCAATCAGCTATTAATGATCTTCGAGAGTATTTTTATTTTTTTTTGTTTTTCTTTATATAAAATAAATGTTTATATTTAAAAGATCTATTGAACTTGATCCATATGATTCAATATCACATTTTCATCTTGCTCATAATTTATCTTTTCTAAATCAAGTTCTTTCATTCATTCTTTCTTTTTAGATTTTAACTATTGTTAAAATTGTTTTGAAACGATTAAAATCAATATAAACGATTAAATAAAAAATACAAATTGAATTATTTTCAATTTAAACGATTAAATACATATTGAATTTTCTTCAATATAAACGATTGAATAAAATACAAATTGAATTTTTTTTGAATATACACGATTAAATAAAAAATACAAATTCAATTTTTGTTCAATAAAGACTACTAAGATTTTGATTTTCTCATCTCAAAGTTTCTTACTTAGAATCGAGTGAATCTTCACCAAGTTTTAACGAAGATTTTTCTCGAAAGAAACTTTGCCATTGTTTATCTCACTAAGTTTAGAGATAAACGCACGTCTCACTAAGTAGAAGACGTACTCGGTATATACACGTGCTTAATCTTAGTGAGAAGCTGCTTTCATTTAAAATTTTAACGACTAGTTTAATCGTATTTTATTTCATTATCTACGGCCTGGAAAAAATCAGTCACATCAAAAGTACTTTTTCAGCTAGTTTGAAGAAATGCCGAAGCTTAAAAGAAGATCTATATCTCAAAGAAATGTCGAGATAGCTAGGAGAATGAGAGAAAGAAGAACTGATGATGAGGTTCGCTTGTTAGATAATAGAAGACGAGCAAATTCTCATAAAATTGAACGACGAAATAATGAATTCAAAACAGAAGAAAATAAAAGAAGAGCCGAAGCTCTGAAAATTGAACGACAAGATGATGAATTCAAAACAGAAGATAATAAAAGAAGAGCCGAAGCTCATAAAATTGAGCGACAAGATGATGAATTCAAAACAGAAGAAAATAAAAGAAGAGCCGAAGCTCATAAAATTGAACGACAAGGTGATGAATTCAAAACAGAAGATAATAAAAGAAGAGCCGAAGCTCTGAAAATTGCACGACAGGATGATGAATTCAAAGAAGAAGAAAGAAGAAGAAATGCACTAAGAATGCACAATAGTAGAGATAATTACAAAAGTAGTTTTGATGGCATGAAATCAAATTATGAGTCAAAAATAAAAGAAGGACCTACTCATATTTGCAGCTGCTGTGGTGGTTTATGGTTTGAGTATTCAATCAGAGAATTTACAGTTGAGATGTTAACAAACAAAGGATTAAAAAAAGAATTTATCGATACAGTTTGTTATCTCAAAAATACAATCATTAAATTATGTCTCACTTGTAGAAAGGACATCATGTCGAATAAGGTACCTAATCTCAGTCTATCTAATGGTTTAGCATTCTATGAAGTACCGGATTGTTTGAAAATCTTGACTGAATTAGAAGAAAGATTAATATCGCCAAGGATTCCTTTTATGGTTATTCGAAGTTTAGGTTCTTGTAAACAATTCGGTCTAAAGGGTAACCTTGTAAATGTTCCCATGAATGTTGATACGAATGTTTCAGTATTGCCTAGAAGTTTCAGTGATACTCACACGATTCAATTGAAACTCATGAGACAAATGAAAAATAAAAATGCTTTTATGTATGAAACAATTCGACCAAAAGTTGTGCATACTGCTGTAAAATATTTGGTTGAGCAAGAGCTGTATAAAGATGAAGGAATTGTGATATCTCATGATTGGCTGAAAGAATATTCTAACGAGAGAGAGAATTTTATCATCGATGATGAAGATAAGAAATTCGATGAAAATGAAAACATCAGCAAAGATTTTGATACCGAGGACAAATGGAATGAATGTGACGATAAACCAGTCAATCCAAGTACTACTGAAACATTATTAAATGACGAGATTGGTGATCAGAATGATATTGGTATCAAATTTGCTCCAGGAGAGAATAACAGGCCGATATCGATTTTAATGGATTTAAAAGTCGATGAATTAACATTTCCGAAAATTTATTGTGGCAAGCAAAGAAAAATCAAAGCGAATGTTAAATTAACTTATGCTAAGATTGCCAAGTCAGAATTAAGAATGTTTGATCGAAGATGTGGCAGAATATCGAAATTGTTTTTCACATATAAGAAACTACAAACGAGAAAGTTCTCCGATGCTATTTCAATAAATTTGAGAAAGACAAAAAGTACAAAAAACATAACTGTTGCACAAATGCTTAATCGAGCTTATGTCAATGGATTGATTCATAATGATGATGCTTTTACATTCTTGAGATGTGATCGATCTTCACCAGCGTTCTGGGAACTCAAGAAAAAGGAAGTTATGGCGATGATCAGACAGTTAGGATGTCCAACACTATTTTTAACATTATCAGCAGCAGAAACAAAGTGGTC